GACAGTCAACATACTGAGTGAAGCCAGTCAGGTGAGAGGTGAGAGTGACATGGTTAAAATCCCCCGATATTGCAATGAATGCATCAGGGTGCTGGGTCTGTAAATGATGTCACATCCGACTGCAGGCTCTGCTTGTGGTTGAATGTAAACAACAATGGCGACGATATGTGAGAATCCCTTCAGTACATAGTACGGTCTAAAACCAACTGCCAACAGTTCAACATTCCAACAGCAGATCTTCTCCTTCACTGTGATGTGACCGGGGTTGCACCATGTATTGTTCACAAGCAGAACCAGTCCTCCACCTTTATTCCTCCCACTTTCAACGGCGTCTCTCTGTACACTCATATTGCAGTGAAGCCGGGTAAATCCACACAACGGTCAGGAGTGTTGTTTCCAGGGAACACATGAGACTACACTCACGATATACTCGCTGGTTCTCCACAAGTGCCTCCAGTTCATCAATCTTGTTAGCCAGGGAGTTGACATTTTCCATGAGGATAGATGGTAGAAAAGGCTTATATCTCCATCTCCTAGCCTTTAGCTTAGCCCCAGCTCTGCATGTATGGGATGTTTAACGCCATATCTGGTAAACTTTAAAGCCAGGAATTCTTCCTTTGTGTACATTATTTTCTCCATCGTCGAAACGACGATGTAGCATAAAAAAAACCCCAAAAAAACAAACATCAATTGACAAACAAACAAAAAAAACAAAACAAAAAAAACAACAACTAATATATACAAATATATATATAGCATCATTACATTATATCATTTACCCTGTGCACCATCAGATTCCACCATTGTGCACGATCATTTTGTCTCCATTTTGCCTGATTCTCTTCCAGGACATCTAAATTGCTATATTATGTTGATTCTACCTCGTAGACATTGTTTAAGTGAAAAATAAACATAAAACATACTACATACAAAGTTACGTGTGTCATGCGTGAAATCCCGATCTGCGGTGAAAATCTCTTGTCCTTACGCACAAGTGTAGTATCGTGAGGAAGCATGTCTCATAGGAGTGTGAAATACTGTTCAAAACCTTGCGAGATGTAGAAAACGATAGTGCTGAGTTTAAACAGCAGTACCACCAAACGCGTGCTAGATGGCAACAAAAGACAATTTATGAAATTCAGGCTTCTCGGCCGACTTGACTGGGAAATCGTATCATAAGGACTCTAAAATGACCACAAAAAAGTAAGGAAACAATATTTGTTGCTTTTGATCAGAACCACTTTGAGATTTGATGATATATTTAGCCATAAACCCAAAATTTGACATGTGGACTGTAAATTGAGAAGTTTGGCCCCATATTTGCTTTGCGGCTGACATGAGTTAGCTCAGGCTACTCTATGCTGGCTATCAATGGAAAAAGTAGGCTCTCTAGTTTCATATGACACCCAGCATGGTCGGATGGAGCGAGCGTATTACATGTACCGTCACATTGCCAAACAAATATTCTTTGGACTTAATACACTCGCACTTGTTTTGGTAGCGTTAAAGCCTCATCTTTTAGAAGCATTAAATAAAAGAGACCACCACAGCGTTCCATCAACTTTTTACAGGCACTTTTGTATCGCACCGTTCTGCTGAACCGGTACCAGGTCAGTCGGGCTTAAGAGGTTAATGCTTATTTTTTTCAGTTTCCACAAATGTCTTTGCATGCGTGCAATATATACAGTGGTATGAAAAAGTTTAGGCACCCCTCTGAGGCTGCATAATAATTTACTCCGTCTTCACAGAATATGATCACAGTGGCGTGCCATTCATTTTCTAATAAAAGCTGAGTACTGGGGTATTTTCCAGACAAAGATTTTTAGTGTAGCAATATTAAGTTGTATGAAATTAAATCAGACGTGAAAAATAGGCTGTGCAAAAATTTGTGCATCCTTGTCATTTTTTTGATTACCTGTAAGTACTTAGCACTGATTAATTGGAACACAAAATTGGTTTGGTGAGATCATTAAGCCTTGAACTTCATAGACAGGTGCATCCAATCATGAGAAAAGGCATTTAAGGTGGCCAATTGCAAATTGTTCTTCTCTTTGACTCTCCTCTGAAGAGTGGCAACATGGGGGCCTCAAAACAACTCTCAAATGGCCTGAAAACAAAGATTGTTCAACATTATGGTTTAGGGGAAGGCTACAAAAAGCTATCTCAGAGATTTCAGCTGTCAGTTTCCACTGTGAGCAACATAGTGAGGAAATGGAAGACCACAGGCACAGTTCTTTTTAAGGCCAGAAGAGGTAGGCCAAGAAAAATATCGGAGAGGCAAAGGCGAAGGATGGTGAGAACGGTCAAAGACAACCCACAGACCACCTCCAAAGACCTACAACATCATCTTGCTGCAGATGGTGTCACTGTGCATCGTTCAACAATTCAGCGCACTTTGCATAAGGAAAAGCTGTATGGGAGAGTGATGCGGAAGAAGCCTTTTCTGCACACACGGCACAAACAGAGTCGCTTGAGGTATGCAAAAGCACATTTGGACAAGCCAGCTTCATTTTGGAATGAGGTGCTGTGGACTGATGAAACAAAAATTGAGTTATTTGGTCATAACAAAGGGCATTATGCATGGTGGCAAAAGAACACAGCACTCCAAGAAAAACACTTGCTACCCACAGTAAAATTTGGTGGAGGTTCCATCATGCTGTGGGGCTGTGTGGCCAGTTCCAATACTGGGAATTGTGTTAAAGTTGAGGGTCGCATGGATTCCACTCAATATCAGCAGATTCTTGAGAATAATGTTCAAGAGTTAGTCACAAAGTTGAAGTTACGCCGGGGCTGGATATTTCAACAAGACAACGACCCAAAACACTGCTCAAAATCTACTCAGGCATTCATGCAGAGGAACAAGTACAATGTTCTGGAATGGCTATCCAAGTCCCCAGACCTGAATATCATTGAAAATCTGTGGGATGATTTGAAGCGGGCTGTCCATGCTCAGCAACCATCAAACCTAACTGAACTGGAGATGTTTTGTAAGGAGGAATGGTCCAAAATACCTTCATCCAGAATCCAGACACTCATTAGAGGCTATAGGAAGCATCTAGAGGCTGTTATTTTTGCAAAAGGAGGCTCGACTGAATATTGATATGATTTTTCTGTTGGGGTGCCCAAATTTATGCACCTGTCTAATTTTGTTTTGATGCATATTGCACATTCTCTGTTAATCCAATAAACCTCATTTCACTACTGAAATATTGCTGTGTCCATCAGTTATTTGATTGATCAAAATGAAATTGCTGATCCAAACACCCAATGATTTATAAATGAAAATACTGGAAATTGTCAGGGGTGCCTAAACTTTTTCATACCACTGTATATATAACAATTCTTATTGATGTCTAAATGAACTTTTTGCCTTGCCTGCCCCAATGCTACTGAGTTGACTATTTTAACTTTACTGTGCAAAATTATGTATTTATTAGTTTTACACTTGAAGATTGTTCTTACATTCATCTACTGACAGTGATAAGTTTCTCTGAAATTAATTATATTTACATATTTATAGATACTGGTAAATTGATACATGATAACATGATGCATCTTATTTGATACATAATAATGGACTGCATCTTAAAAAAAAACTTTCATAGTAAAAAGTGAATCATTTCAGATTTTCATGTCATTTGTATTATTTTATTTATTTATTTTTTTTAAATCATAGAGTCAAGTTATTTATAGGAATCAAATCACTCAATGCCCTTTGTGCCCTGGCATGTGGTCTTTTTGATCTAAATTTTCTTTTTCTTTCTTATTTTCTTTCTTTTCTTTTTTTTAAGTTATTATTTTGGCCAGTTTTTGCCTTTATTTGGACAGGGACAGTGAGAGAGTGACAGGAAAGTTGGGGAGAGAGAGGGGATGACAGGCAGCAAAGGGCCATGGGTCAGACTCAAACCAATGGCCGCTGTAGTAAGGACTGAGTCTAAATGGGGTGCCCTGTGATCAAATGGCCTTGTCCTTAAAATGAAGACATTAGTAGCCTGGTCATCACCCTTATATTATTGTTAATTTAATGATAATGATGATAATAATTGTTAATACTGTTGTGTCACTGGATTAACAGCCTTTTACTGCCGTAGCTGGTCGAGGTGCTATTTTAGCTAGGAGTTGGTTTCAAATGTGAGAACAAGGGGAAAAGGGGAACTGCAACACTGGTAGGCCTTCTTTATATAAAAATGTTGATGTTGCATGAATTTACCAGGATATGAGGGAAATTATAAATTATATTGGTAAATTATTCAAATTGACCATTTTACCCAGGGTTAACTACTTATTCTCAATGATCCCCTAGAATCAAACTATCTACCTTACAAAAACCTAAAAACCCATGGAGGTCTAGAAGTTCAAACTTTCTGTTACTTCATTGCCCACCAACTCCAATATATCTATAAATGAACCAACCTCAACCTATCTGACACCCCCTGCATAGACAGAACAAACGTTATGCAAAGAAATCCTCATCTCAGATTTACCATTTATTAGCCGCTCCATTAGACACCACCCATGCTTCAAAAACCCCACCATAGCTACAACTCTGACAGCTTAGTGGTAATTTCACCAAATAACAAACACCACAATCTCACCTACCATGCACACTCCCATCTGGAACAATCCTGACTTCTTATTAAACAGAAAACCTATCAACTTTCCCTCAACGACCAGCACACACATCACACACCTCAAACATATCTTTCAAAACAACACCATGGTCTCATTCCCACACTTCCCACACGGAAAACTTTTTTCTAGAGTTCCTCTAACTCAAATCATCTATTCAGGTAAAAATCACCATTAAATCACCCATGTTAGAGTCACCCCCGACAACATCAGAAATAAGATGCTTCCCAAAATTACAGGACAATCCTCACCCCCTGCCCCCAAGCAGGCTGGTAGGCACAGAGGAGTAAAGACAATACCAATTGTGAAATATGATGGAAGAGAGGAGAAGGAAAGGTAAAGAGAGGCAGGAAGGTCAGAGGATGACTAACCAATTCATACTCATCGAAAAGCTGGATGAGTGAGGGGGGGATGAAAGTGTGGAATCCTTGTAGGAAGGCGTTTATCTGAGGCTGGATGGCTCGTGTCATCCTCAGCTCCGTTACCAGCTGTACGTACTCGGCCTGAGAGAGGAAATACACACAGAACCATCCAATTCATCAAATATAGTGATAGACAAGAGAAACACGCATAACTCACATATAGTTATTCTCTCTGCTCCTGTTGGACTGCTCTCTAATTTGACCTTGACAGTGCCATCTGCAGGAAACCTGCAGCACTGCACTCTCTAATTAGGACTCTTCCAGACAAAAACCTGGAGGAGAAAGATCAATCGATCATACAAGACCAACTATGGATGAAGTGGAATGTTAATGCCACCTTCAGCCACACAGCTTCAACATGGCACCACAAAAATATTCAAAACATTTAAGAGTATAATGAAAACTGAATGTAAAATATTCTCACAGACTTTTGACAGATAAAATCTAAGGGCTCTATTTTAACAGTCCAAAGCACAGTGATCTAAAGCCCATAGTGCAAGTGGATTTAGCAGTGATTTGCTACACCAGACACATGGTTCAAAAGGGTTGTACTCAGTAATAATTCATGGGAGTGTTTTGGTTGTAACATGCATTAAACCAATTACAATGCCATCTCCCATTCCCTGTCAAAGCTAGGCGCGCTGACATCTTTGCAGATTGCTATTATAATGGCGCAGTGTTTCACACAGAGTTACATTCTATTTGTGGTCAGTTGATCACATATTGTGACTGACCAGTGAACCAAGTCCTGACACACACACAGCAGCTCTGTGTCCTGAAGGGCAAAGAAGGGCTGAGTGAATGAATGCTCTGCACATCACATCACAGCATTAAACTTCTTTTAAATTACATGATGAGAAGTGTGAATAAATCAGTAGTCAAGGTGATGAAAGGGGAACACTGTGGAGGATTTACCAGGTAGTAAGAAAGAAACTTCTCTGCAGAGCCTCATTTATGTTCAAGAGACACGCATGACACGTTACATTATATGACACATGTCACAAAGAAGCTGCGACCTTCTGAGGCTGTATTGTAATTTTCCACCTGACTTATCCAAACATCTGAAGCACATTTTCAGCACTTTCTGTTAAAAAGCCAGGTTTTTGTGATGTAATCGTAATCATTTCAGAACTTTACCAGGACATAAAGGTATATTTTTGTCACTAGGGGTACAGAAATGTTCTTTTAGAGGTACAAACAAGAAGATACAAAAATGTACCAATGTTCAAAGGTACAGTGCTGTACCCTGCTAGGGTACAGCTAGTAGGGTACCTTATGAAGTACCCTGTTAGGGTACAGCTGAAGCAACAAAGCCATTTTACCTTTTTAGGTCCATTCCTGTGCTTTCATTTCTTAGTGTGCACACCCTCTTATAATTGGGGATGTCACTGTGTTCAGAATTAACCAATCACATTCAAACTCATGTTAAATAGTGACTGATTAACCCCAAATAAAGTTCAGATGTTCCTGTAGGATATTCCTGACATTTACTTAGTTGCATCTTACAGCAAAAGCCATGGTCCGCAAAGAGCACACAAAGCATTAAAGGGATCTCATTGTTGAAAGGTATCAGTCAGGAGAAGGATACAAAATAATTTCCATGGCATTAGATATACCATAGAACACAGTGAAGACAGTCATCAATGGGTGGAGAAAATATGGCACAACAGTGACATTACTAAGAACTGGACGTCCCTCCAAAATTGATGAAAACTCAAGAATGGAAAGGGAGGTAAGGGAGGCTGCCAAGAGGCTACAGCAACGTTAAGGGAGCTGCAGGAATTTCTGGCAAATACTGGTTGTGTACTACATGTGACACCAATCTCCCATATTCTTCATAAGTCTTGGCTATGGGGTAGGGTGGCAAGACGGAAGCCAATTCGTCGGAAACCAAAACATCCAAGCCTGGCTAAATTTTGCAAAAAAATACATCAAGTCTCCCAAAAGCAAGTGGGAAGATGTGATATGGTCTGATGAGACCAAGGTTGAACTTTTTGGCTATAATTCCAAAAGGTAGCTATATTTGGCACAAAAACAACACTGTTGAGAACCTGATACCTGCGGTGAAGCATGGTGGTGGCAGCATCGTGCTTTGGGGCTGTTTATCTTCAGCTGGAACTAGGGCTTTAGTCAAGGTTGAGGTAATTATGAACAGTCAAAATACCAGTCAATTTTGGAACCTAAATCAACAAAAGAATGGCTTCACCAGAAGAAGATTAAAGTTAAAGGGTAGTTGTGCTGTTATTGAATGTTTTTAAAATCTGTGTGTTTTACCTCAGGAATAAGTTGGAGCCAAGATATTGTTAGCCTTGATGTTCTCTAAAGGTCACGAGGACTTCTCATTCATTCATTTGTGTTGTTTATCATCACCTTACTCTTTCACTGTGTATGTAGGTCATATTGTTTATTAGTGCCACGGGTGCTCAGCTCCGAGGCATCTATTAATCTTCTGTTTCAGGTTTATTATTCTTCCGCCAAATTTCGGCGCGTAACTCGTCCCGCAGCTTTGAGAAAACCCCAGTAATATATACATCAAAACATGCGTCTTGATCCCGAAAGGGGTGCTATGACTTTTGGTGTTAAATTCCAATTTTTCCCAAAGTTATTCCCAAAAAACTGGGAATAAATAATGCATTAGGAATGCATTGGAATTTTCTTTAGAAACCCAAAACATTTCAACTTTTTTCTACAAAATTTCCCCTTTTTTCTGAGTCACCCAGCTCCCTCATACCTGCACGTAGAAATGTGATTCAAACTATAAAACACAGGAAAACTTCTGCTCTCTCCAAAACACAGCAATTGTTTTTACATAACATGTAAACTTTTCAAACTATGAGCACTCAAAGGAGGAGTGGAAATCACTTTTTCTTCAAAGTTAGAGTGACAGCGTCAGTTGGCTAGAGTGCGTGAAGCAGTAAAAAATAACCTTTATTTTTATTTTTAACTCGAGCTTGCGGCCAAACCGTAAAAAGGAGACAAATAATTCTTTCTGAAAATGTAGACATAGTTGTTGGGATTCATAAAATGTAACTTTGACAGGCAGGGTCTGCACAAAATTTAAACGGGGGTGCCGAGTCCGGCAGCAATACCTGTCTCACTCTCATTGACACCTAATGTAATCGTCTTTTTTTTTCCAAAAGAATCTCACTCTGTCTTCGCACTGAGCTTACTCACTCTTACTCACTTTTAAGGAATATCTGAATAAAATAGAGACTGTAAGAAACTTCTGGCTTCAGCGTCTGGCACGGTCTTTTCGGTTTTTGGAAAGAAGTAACGGTTTTCTCATATTTTGCAATTGTTTTAAGCCATGTAGAAGCCAAATTCTGGGCAGATTTTCACATTGCCATGGCAACGGCAGCTCCTGACCTGTGTGCGTGTGTGCGTGCGTACCAACCAGATAACCAACTCTCCAAGCTCCGCTAGCTTTACATTAGCCGCATGTTAGGTCTTAAATTACATTTAGTTAGGTCTTAAATATGTAAGTCCATTTACTGCTTCCTTTGTTGCTTTTCTTTTTGTTTTGTTAAATGAGTGAATGAAGTTGTGACGGTCTCCGCTGAGACAGAGGAGAGGAGAAGCTACTAGCCCTCTCTCGCTGTCACTTCTAGTCGCGTTGCTCTCCTCCCCAGTAATGTTAAATTTAGCACAGAAAAAAACATAATAGTGGTAATTTAAATAGCAGTTCATGGGATTTATTAACCTTCAGGGGTCCCTCTGTCCTTTTTTGGACATTTTCTTCACTTTTCTTTTTTGATTAGCTGATCATTTTGGCTGTGTTACAGCTGAAGGTATGGATTTCTGCAAGAAAGTGTCTTTTTTGACATATTTTTAAAATCTAATGTCAGTTACTGTTACAGGTCTATTATACACTGGTAACACATTTTGTACCCTCTGGGGTTCCTCGCGTCCAAAAAAGGACACACAAAGAAAATGCTATAAAATCATCATGTATCAATATTTTGTTCTGCTTTTTTTTGCATACATCTCTTAAACCACTTCAGTTCTGCTCAAACCTACCAAATGTTTATTAGTTTTCAGGATTTTAACCCTTTAAATGCCAGTTTGAAGACATGTTGCCTCTTGTTTTATTAAAAAAAACAACACAGAATATGAGATATTTCCCACATAATACATGATGGAGGGATGTGACATTGTTTTATATCAGAGTCTTTTATATCAAGACATTTCTCAAAACCAGAATATGATCAGGGTGGCTTTCGAACACTGGAAATCAGTAATGTACTCATTCCAGCAGTAGCCCCCGTGGCACTCAAAATTTCCCTGGAATTTTCTAGTGTTTATTATTATTGCTTATTCATAATTTTGAACATATTCTGTTTCTTCTCTTTTATATAGAAACCACACACCTTCATGTAGCAGTATCATAATCTGCAATAAACGAGTGGCATGTTCATCAGAGTGTATGATTAATTAGATTCAGAAACCAATCATTCCTGTGGAGTGCAAATCCATAGAATCAGCACCTAAGGGTTCATCCATTTATCATTACTGAGGTCACACAGTTGGTACTCACAAAACCAACACCTAATTTATAATATCTCACCACAATTATGCAGATCACACACAACTCTACATAACACCATCACCAGGCGGTGATTGTGTGGATGTGCCAGAAGTTTCTACAGCTGAACACAGAAAAAAAATGAAATAATTATTTTTGGCCCCAAAGAAGAAAGGTGAAAAGTCAGTGTGTACCTTGAATCCATGACACTAAAACCTACAAATCAAGCAGCCTATTACCATCTAAATAACATTTCAAGAATTAAGGGATTACTGACTAAACAGGATACAGAAAAAAACATTAATGTATTTATTTTCAGCAGGCTTGAACTGTAATGGTGTTTTCACAGGACTCAGTTGCAGCTCATTCAGAATGCTGCTGCCAGAGTCCTCACTAACACCAATAAAGTGGAGCACATCACACCAGTCCTCACTGCACTGGCTTCCTGTGTGTCAAAGGACAGATTTTAAAATCCTACTACTTGTCTATACAGCACTAAATGGGCTTGGGCCTAAATACATTTCTGATCTACTTGTACAATTGAAGCATCCAGACCCCTCATGTGGTCTGGATGGACAGGTATACTCAGTATTTCCAGAATCAGAACCAGGCAAGGTGAAGCAGCTTTTAGTTTCTCTGCTCCTCACCTGTGGAACAAACTTCCTGAACACCAGAGATCTGCTGAAACTGTCAGATCATTTAAATCAGGGCTTAAAACAACACCAATAAATCACATAATATCTTTTTAATCTTGTGCATTTGCTTGTTGTTAATGTCTTTCATTACTACAGCACCTCTTTTAAAATAGTGTACTGAGTTTCCTACCTGATCTTATGTATTTAAATATTTTCACTGTTGTTCAAATTTGATTTTATTGTTAAATACTATTCTAATGTCATCTTAATGTTCTATTTTTAATGTATACCCATGCCTCTGTAAAGCAAATTTTTGTTGCTTTACTTCCTGTTTTATTTATTGTTATTCACTTCTCTTGTTTCAGATCCCCACTCCCTGCCCTTGTGTGTTTCCCGCTCCTGTGATTGTCTGCCCACCCCGATGTGTTTCACCTGTGTACCATATCCTTGCTTCCTTTGTGCATTTAATCTATGTCTATCCCTGCTGCAAAACGTTTTTTCAGAGTGAAGATTTTTGATTTCAAACTGAACTGGCTCCAGAGTCGTGCACTTGAGACCTCTTCTGTGTACCATTTTTGTCAGAAACAGATGTTATGTCTTTTTATAAGGTGGCCTCAGAGAAGCATGTACAGTAGGTGGAAAAGAGGGCTTCAGCTAGAACCACGCCTAGAAATACCCACATAGAAACTAATGTCCAACATCGGCTGATAGCAGCAAGTAATTCATGACCTCAAGAAGCTCAGTTTCTTCACAATGATTTTTCCTAAAACCAAACTGAAAGCAAGTAGCAAATGGTCTGCCACCACATTTCTAAACCTTACCCAAAAACTATTAATGGGAGCTTAGAAATTAGCAGAAAATTGTTAAAATCAGAAATATCAAGTGGAAGTCTTTTTAAGTTTTAACAAGTAGAATTGTTTTAACAAATTAAGGAGAATGCAGTTAATAATTTCAAAATATTGTTTGTTTTTGCTGGTGCTCCAGAGAGAAGACTGACTGAGGAGATGGTGACCATGCAAGTGAAGAAAACAATAATGAGAAAAAAAAATGAAATCAGACAGATATCAAATGTAGTTGATTTGCCAAAATCCTATGCAAACCTGCTTTTGAGGTGTGTACACAAAGGAAGAATGGTAAACAATGGTAAACAACCTGGTAGATCCAGGAGCTCAAATCTTGTGGATGACCGTAAATTAATTTGCATGGTGAAGAAAAACCTGTTATGACTGCACAGCAAGAATGCTCTCCAGGGTAAAGGTGTATATTTCATTATCAATGATCAAGAGAAGACTTCATGGACTGATGGAAAAACTGAACTTCCATCAAAAATGATGGAAAGTGAAAAGTGTGGAGCAATAAGGGGACAGCTCATGATCCAAAACATACCACCTCATCCCTCAAACATGGTGGTTTTGTTATGGCTTGACCGTGTTTGGCTGCCAAAAGAACTAACACTCTGGCATTTACTGATGATTTCATTGCCGATGTAAGCAACATGAATGCAGAGGTATACAGGAGTGTTCTGTGCTCAGATTCAACCAAATGCATCAAAATGTCATCATTGGATGACATTTCATCAGCAGGAAAATGATCAAAATCAAACCGCCAAAGCAAACAAAGAGCTTTTCAGGGTGAAGAAGAAGTGGAATCTTTTTGACAAGCCAAATCAATAACCTGATCACCAAGCACAAAAACTTAAGGACAAAAAAATATGTAATTGTCCAAATACTGTATTTTAACTTTGATTAGAGATACAACATGCTGCATCCTGACAGGCTATTTAGTGACAGCACAATATTTTTTTACAGCACAAATGTGTTTAATCTTACTGTTATACTAAATAAATACTCTTTATTATACTTCAAGAGCAAATACTACTGAAAAGTTTACATAATTTTGTGTATTAGTTTTTTTTATTTCCAATCCCAACAAACAAGCCCAGTATGATAAATATTGTTCTAATGTGTGAGTTTGAAAAAGTTTGTCTCTATCTTACTAATTAATTGCAAATTATAATTTTTGCAGGAAACTTCATTGACTCAAAACCTTAACAAGAATTAGAAAAAAAATGTAACATAAACCATTATCCTAGCACTGAGCTTTGTCCTTTAACCCAAGCATTTTGCATTATATTGACACTGTATGGTATCATGCCTTTGATTGGGTTTGTGGTGACTGACCTTGTTGCCCTGGGTGACCAGGATGCTGGTCCCTCCGGGTTTGAGTGGTACTTCCTCCATCGCCCCAAACACATCTGTCTCTACAGAGAAGGTGAGCTCCAGACCCAGATCACTGATGTCGTTGTCCAGGATCCACTGGAGGTTCTTAGCATACTCTGGATCGATGGATGACACATCCTGGTAGTTCACTGGGATACCTGGAGAACACAAAAATATCAAATATAGTATGGAACATCATGATCACTGGAGCCAGGAGGTTATATTATCTAAACCTGAAGGAAGTTAGATACATAATGCTCCATTTTTTAATACATACCAAAGCGGAAAGCAGTAAGTGTTGTATCTTTAGTTCATTGATACAGTAATTCACAGTCATTCGTGCACCATGAAGCTGTAGTCCTAACCACAGCAGCCCAGGTTCAAGTCCAACTCGTGGCCCTTTGCTGCATATCAACAGTCTAAACCTAGTATATAGCTGGATAGCCTGTGGTCAAATCATGATTTTATAACCACAATGTCATCTGACAAAATCACCAAACACATAAATGAAAGACAAAGACTGAGCTGTGATTTCAGCTGTTTTGCCTGTATGAAAGCAAGTTTTCAACACTGGGAAAATATCTATACCTGAATGGACATGTAGCGTGTCAGTGTTCGACTGAAATTATAACCATGTTGATAGGATATTCTGATCCTTGTACTTGTCATTTTCTATTTTTTACCACCAAGAGTCTGATATTCTTAGAAGCTTCAGGTGATGTAAACTGGAAGTATACAATCTCAATTGGGTCAGCGAATGGTCATGCTGAATTAGCTACTAGCAGATCCTGTGTGAACTGTGCTCATATACTGACAACAATCACCTGAATTACAGTTAATACTACAGAAAATAATCTGTGATGTGAAATTATACACAGTGTGTGTATGATACATGAACATTCAAGTTTGACTGAGTAGAGATGATTTTTAATGTAAACTGTGTAGGGTCAAAGATAGATGCCTCCATATATTCTCAACCAATACACTGGTTATCTACTTATCTACACATATGGCTGTGTTCTTTTACCCAGTATGTGTTTGTAGAAGGATCGGGTAAAGTAGATGTTCACCAGCTGTCGGTGGTACAGAGCCAAACCCAGGATCTGACCTGCAAACCGGAAGTAGTTCAGATGGTCCGGATTCACTGAGGAGTTACTGTTGGGCTGAAAAGTGGTACCTGTAAATTACACACACACAGGCACACGCACACAAACACACCTTCATTTTCCACATTTTAAAGAGTCAGCTTGTCACACTTAATGTTGGTGCAGTAAGGAAAACATCACGTACCATCAGCTGACTGAGTGAACAGAGCATAGTCTGGGTTGATGATCTCATTGGACAGGATATCAAACCACTCCCGAACCACACCCTGACCCTGAAACACAAGTTCAACACAAACCACATGATGACTCTACTTTGGATTAAATGAGATGTGGAACTAGAGAACTGCTGATCCATCAGCTGACAGCTGAAACAGGCCAACAGAAAAGGAGTTTTAATGAGTGATACTCATGCAGTGTCATGAATTTAGAAACCCACCATCCCCTCCTCGCCATGGAAGCGAACAGCAATACCCTGTTTGAGTTTCTCGTTGGTGGACTTGGACACCATCTCACAGCTACTCCTGAATATGGAGTCTGTAAGTGAGATAAAAAAAAATACATAGTGTATACTGTATAACAAAATTTCAAGGAGAATAAGATGGGGAGGGCAGGTGAGAAATATAGTGGTCAGGGTTGCTGCTACATACTATGTTCTCAAAATTACAAAAGGGACAAACTCAATTTAGAAGCAGGAAATTTATTTTTATCTTACTTATTGGCAAAATTCCATACACTGTAGAACCTGACATCTTTATCACACAATTTTGCAACAAGCAGCATCTTTACTTTTGCAGTTGGTTTCTACCATTCACAACCATCACCCACAGTGGAAGTTGCTGGAAAAATGTGAAAGGATAAGGAATGAAATTTAACGCTTATAATGTCTCAAGTTTCTTCTTGATCACTATAATTTTTTACTAATCTTGAGTCACAAGATTTCTATTCATACCTTCTGAACTGTGAATGTTGGTGATGATGAAGGTCTTTCTCTAGTTTGTTTAAATCCTCATGTTCACTATATCAAAAGTGATTTTTGATATTATTTATGATTGGCATCTTTTCAACAATAGCCTTTCAACATATTAATGTTCTGTAATTGCCTGTCTATTTTGTTATTGGCATAGTCTGCCTTTTCTACATGGGACCAACACAGGAAATGATGCATGTATGTAATGATGTTCTGGACATGATGCAGAGAAGGACTTAAGGCATGTTTGCTGTTTTCAGTGGTCAATATTATTCTGAACAGAACTCTAAACTAGCAGTTATCAACAGTAACCACAGGTGTTGCCAAACAAATCAGGAATGAACTCCAAGACCATCAGTTGTCTAGACCGAAAGAACTCATTCATTTCCATTAGACCACTGCATTGACATAATGGGGCTGCCAAAATTGGCCAATCTTAGATATATGTTAAATGCTTTTCAGTTTTCTTACCAGTATCGGCAAAAACACATCCACACTAATGCAGCCCCTTGCTTTTATGTCTTTCGGTGAAGAGTTTTGGTGTCTGTTTTGGCATTAATGTTGTCCTAAAGTACCAACAACTGGCACATATTAACCTTCAGAAACTTATTCTGTGTGCATTTCCCAACAAGCCAGGCATGATTACATTGGAGAGTAAATTACATCTGCAAATGGATTTTGGTGTGATCTTTATACATGAACAGTAGAAGTTTATGGCAGTGAGGACAGTTTGTACCTCTGTGGATGAGGAGGATGTCGTTCTCGTTGACTGGACGATGAACCATGTCTGAGTCTGGCTGGCCAGCCAGCAGATGCTCATAGAACCACTCACAGCGATCCTTAAAGGGCTGAGAGTGAAAACAAGACTTCATGCACAGCACATTTCATGAACTAATTATTACTTTGCTTTGCTTTTAATGCTCAGACTGTGGATTCCACCTCAACTGACAGCTCGGAAAGCCTTCAGTGCTACAGTCGTCTCTAATAGAAAGATTAAGTCAACGTCTATTTGCATAATATATGCTTTTATTCTCTAAACATTAGCGGTAGATTGAAGGATTAGTGTGGAAGAGAGATAAAGGCGTTTTCCCCAGGGGCTGCAGGGCATACCAAAAGAAGAATGAGAAGATGAATCAAATTCACCAGGTTAAATTCCAGAATTAAAACATAACAAGGCTCAAACGCTACAGGTCAAATATGATTACTGAAGAGTGAATGAACATCACACCACTCACAGCAGAGCAAAGTCTTGTTAAACAACCTGTATACATCTGTGGAATCAAACACTGCAGCCAAAATACCTCTAGTTCATAACTTTACCTACCTGCTTGACCTGTTGCACTACCCCATTAATAAGACAGACAGACAGACAGACAGACAGACAGACAGACAGACAGACAGACAGACAGACAGACAGACAATACTGGCTCTTGAATGAAAAAGATTAATGGACTAAATTCATCTACGGTCCACTGACAGTCTGAGAGACAAGAAGCAACAGCAACAGTACAATGCATAAAATCATGCAGATACAGGTCAGGAGCTTTAGTTAATGTTCACATCAAACATCACAATGAGGGAAAAATATGATCTGAGGCATGATTGTTGGAGCCATACAGGCATATTTCTGAAACTGCTGATCTCCTGATATTGTCAACAGTCTGGAGTTTACTCAGAATGGTGCCAAAAACAAAAAACATCCAGTGTTCAGAAGTGAGAGATCAGAGGAGAGTGGCCAGTCTGGTTGGCGCTGACAGCAAGGCTACAGTAACTCACATAACCACTCTTTACAACTGTGGTAAGCAGAAAAGATTCAGAGTGAACAACACGCCCCACCGTGAGGTGGATGGACTACAACAGCAGAAGACTACCTCGGGTTCCACTCCTATGAGCCAAGAACTGAAATCTGAGGCCCGCAGTTGGCTCTGAATGCTTAGAAAAAGCACTGTATGAATGTGTGAGTGAATGGGCAAATCTGGATTGTAGTTTAAAGCACTTTGAGTGCAGTTGCTTTACATGCCCACCAAAACTGGACAGTTAAAGACTGGAAAAACATGGTCTGGTCTGATGGATCTTGATTTCTTGGAATTTGGCATCAACACCAAATACATGGTCCCAGCTCTCCTTGTGTCTACAGTCCAGGCTGGTGGTGATGTAATGTTGTTGGGAATTGTTCCTTGGCTCTTTGGCTACAGCCTACCTGAGTGTTGTTCCTGACCATGCATAATCCTTAATGGTGACAATTTACCCATCTTCTAATATCTACTTCCAGAATGATAATGCTCCATGTCAAAAAGCTAAAGATGAGGGGGCGTCGAGTGGCGCAGTGAGTTGAGCAGGCGTCCCATATGTAGAGGCTACAGTCCTGGCTGCAGTCCCGGTTCGAATCCCACATCGGACGGCCCTTTACTGCATGTCATTCCCCCGCCCTCTGCCTCCCCATTTCCTGTCTCTCTCTACAGTGCTATCCAATAAAGGCATAAAAAGCCCAAAAAATATACTTAAAAAAAAAAGCTAAAGATGAGGAGAACAGGAGAGGACAGGAGTTTGGCAGCATGAAATGTGCAGCTAACAAATCTGCAGAAATGATGTAATGCACTGGACCAGACTCTGAAAGGTGATGTTTCCAACATCTTGTGGAATCCATACCACAAAGACTGAGGCCATTTTGAGAGCAATAAATATGGTTTTCCAAATAAAATGCTCTGTGGGTACATTTTCATACGAAGGCTGAGAGTAAAACTAACAAAAACTGGACTCTCACACTAAAATGAAATGAAATGAGTGCACATAAATTAGGTAAATAAGATATATTATATTATATTTTTTTATTATATTTTGTTTTTTTCTTTTACTTTAAAAAAGAAAAAGTTATTTTCTTAGATTTTTTGGGGGTGCTGTTTGGGGGTGCTGTTAGGCCCCGAGGCAGTGGTAGGGGAATCACTATTACTTCAATTAATTGATTATGAAAAAGGTTGCCTGTTATTATCATTATTATTATTAACCAACCAACTAATCAATTAATAAACTGATCATTTCAGGACTATGCATGCTGGGGTATGGTGTTGAAATGATCATGGTCATTTAATAAATTCAATTCATTGTTTTTCTATGTTTTGTTATGTAAATATATTATTGTTACACTTAGGAATGCTATAGGCCCTTTTCCACAATTTAAAATTACATTTTATAAATTATAAAGTTAGCATATAAAGTAAGTGAACCTTTATTTCCATTTAGGGATACATTTGTCTTAAAATATCCCAAAATCTTCATCTAAGTTACAATTATGAACAACCACAATCTATTTCAAATAATAACATAAAAATAATTGACAGTTTTCTTGTCCACATTAAAACTAGAATTACCATCTCACGCCAAATGTGAGGAGTTTCCCTTGAAGATTTCTCGAGATATCATGTTTACAAGGCCAAAATCGTGTTTTGTGAGGTCACTATGACCAAAATGTAATCAGTTCGTCCTTGAGTCCAAGGGAATGTTTGTGTCAAATTTGAAGGGATTCCCTTGAGTTCTTAAGGTATTGTGTTCATAAGGCCAAAATCATGGTTTGTGAGGTCACCGTGAGGTGCGTGCAGGTGAATGTTTCTACCAAATTTAAAGAAATACCCTCAAGGTGTTACAGAGATATAGTGTTCACAAGGCCAAAACTGCATTTTGTGAGATCACTGTGACCTTGACCTTTGACCACCAAAATCTAAACAGTTTATCCTTGAATCTTAGTCAATGTTTGTGCCAAATTTGAAGAAGTTCCATCATAGTATTACTAAGATATTGCATCCACAAGAATGGGATGGACGTATGTATGGACGGACAAACTGAAAACAATGTACCTCCAGCTCTGGCCACACAATTTGCCAAAGAGCACTTTGACACCCCACAATGCATTGAAATTAGTTTCCATTCATTGTCTTACCTGGCCCTTAATAATATGCATGAAGCGAGACATTAACTCAGGACACTCCAGGAGGAAGTGGAAGTGGTTAAAGATGATCTTTGGATTCCTGAAAAAGAGGATGCAGAGAGATGAACAGAGAAAGAAACAAGACAGGAGGAAGTGAGAGAGCAAAGAGACGAAAGTGCAAACAAATTAAGAGGAAAGAAGGTACTGGATCAATACCCAGTCTCTAGGTACTGTGTGAGGAGGTTGATGTATGGCAGAGGGCCACCATGACTCACCTGGTTACAAAACACTTGAGCACATTGTCGTGGTTGCAGACAAACTCAATGAAGCGAGGGGATGTCATTCTGGGTAAGGAATAGAGTAAGGAGAAGAATAAAGAAGATGGAGTGAAAGAATAAAAGAGACAGTCAGCAGCAACAACTCAGCAACAGCATGTATTTTACAATTGGAACACTCATGGTCCAACATAATTTTCAGTGAAGAGATTTAGCTTCAAACAGAAATAATAGAAGACACCACTTATCATAGAATTTTGATGAAAGTAGAGTTAAAAGAGCAAGCACAATAACAGCTGTTAATTACACATCTTTAATTATCTAATTGTGAATTTATAGCTGGGATTGAACAAAGAGATAAATCTGGGAGCAAACAGGAGGTAGATAAGGCATGGCTGGTCACAGTGGGAGCTGTCTCATATTCTTGCAAACTAAGTACTGAGAGATAGAGTTATACCTTGGATCATTCTGATATACAGTACTGTGAAAACATTTTAGGCAATTTAGATGTTTAGATTCTTATCCATCATGCAATAGAGTGCTGCAGCGATGATGTATTTTTATAGGCAAGATATTAGCATCACCCTGGTTCCCTCAATGAACAGCCAATGGGATTTTTATATTGGCTTTTTGGATTACCGCGGAAAATAAACTTTGATGAACAACAGTATATGATACTGACACATTTTGTTCAGCAGGATAATCTTCACTAATGAACACCACTTTATGAGGTCTGAAGCCTTAATACAATCAGCAGATGTAAAAAGCTGTTAGGCTATAAACCAACTGCACCACGGTCACATTACTTCAACGTCATCACCACTAAACTTCAACTTCAACTTTCCTGAGGTATTAAATGTTGTATAATAAAATCTGAAAAGGTCTTGAATTTGTGTTAACTGCAGACATTTGTTCAGGTATCTAACAAAAAAGTGAGAAAAAAAATCAATCGGGTATTAGGAGTCATTCCTGCAGCACTCTAACACTATAAGAGGCATCTGTTCAGTTAGAAATTCATTCTGCACATGACAATGACCCCAAACATACAGCCAGACTCATAAAGAGCTATTTTCAGGAATGACTAGAAGTTCTGCAGCAGATGGTATGGCTCCCACAGAGCCCTGATCTCAACATCATGGAGTAAATCTGGGATTACATGTACAGAGGACACAGACAGCCTAAAACCACAGAAGAACTGTGGCAAGTTCACCAAGATGCTTGGAACAACCTGCCAAGTACCTTGAAAAACCCTGCATAAATCTAAAATCTGTCATCATCTAAAAACATTGAATAAGGGCCGGGCGGTCTGTTAACACCACAAGATGAAATGGTTGTAGTCTGTCATCCTGGAGAGGGCTGATCTTAGCTGATGAAGAAGATTTCAGTATAAGAGCCTCGAAAGAGTTAAAGGTCACTTCCCGTTTAGTCGTTAACCTGAAATCTGATTTATAGATTAAAGCCACACCCCCACCTTGCTTTGTGGCTTGAGCAGCATGTGCATTAGTATAATCAGGTGGGGAAGTCTCAATAAGAGGAAAGATAACATTTGAGTAGTATGGCGGGGGAGGGAGACAGTCTCAATATTATAAATGTGGCTATAAGGCATATTGTCTATGCTATGGGGATTTTTCTCCCTAGACTTAGATTCTAGACTAGTGGACTCCAAAAACGCATTTCCTGAAACCCTAGCAGGCTCTCTAATCACCTGCGACATGCTGAGCACTGCGTCCCTAGTGTGAAACTTTTCCCCAAATGCTTTGCAATGAGTAACGTGCACTACATTAATGGTTGTAAGACATGAAGTGACAAGGCCTGGTTAAGGTCTTTGATAGTATGGCTGTAGGTGTTGATATTTATTTTGTTAAATTACATATTGCAATTTTATTGTTCACTGTTAATATAAGTACCTGACAAACATCTGGCTTCATGTTGCTTCTGAGTATCCTGATCTGTCCGACAGAGCTGTTAGACTGGATTTTCTGTGCTTGTGGCATTTAAAACTAAATGTAGAAATAAAATGAATGTGGAGCCAGATCTTCGATTGAGACTGTCACCCATTGTGTCATACATAAATCATTTGGTGGCCAACATATTGTTGGCCTATTGTTGAACCGATCCACTGCAGCTCTATAATTATCAATAAGTGAGAGTGCAATGTTTTAATTTTGTTTTGTTGCAATTGTTGCTTTACTTATTTAAATATTTTTCTTCTAGTTATGCCTACACGCTGAATTTACAATATAATCAAATTGAATTTGTGACTTCTTGTAGGCTTATCAATTTGATTAAAAAGTGTAATTTTCGTAATTTCGTAAATCAGCTGTGGATGTGTGTCGGGATGAAAGCCGCTGTATGAGCCAGCAGTGGATGTTGCATATAGTGCAAAAGCGCGCACACACATACTGTCTTTCTCTGCGGGGGCTGGGAGGGAAAACCACTGGAAATGGACTGCTGTTTTGAAAACCATGCCGTCTTCATATTGTTGGCAGTTTTATAAAAAGCCACAAGTGCAATGTTTTCATTTTGTTTCTTTGCAATAATGGCTGTCGCTTGTTGCGTATTTAAGTTTAATCTGGCTATGCCCGTGCTGAATTTACAGCATATGTAGACCTACATTGGTTTTATGTTTGTTTATAGGCCTATCGATTCATTTCTCATTTGTTGAATGATACTATTATATATTTGTAATAATTTATTTGTAAATTAGCCTATTGCAGACAGCCCATTTTATGTAGTGCTGATGGACAGCTTCCCTGCCTCAAGTGGGCAGTGAGTTGGAAAAGGTTGAGAACACCTGCCGTAAGGGAAAATCATGTGACCAGTAGCTCATTAATAATAATAATAATAATAATAATAATAATAATAATAATAATAACAATAACAATAACAATAACAATAATAATAATAATAATAATAATAATAATAATAATAAACATATCATAATAAAATTAGTCCAGTTCCTTTGGCTGAGGTGTTCTACAGCCTGATGGCAGTGGGGAAAAGGATCTCCTGAACCTCTCTGTTCTGCAGCGCAGTGAGATGAGACATTTGCTGCAGCTGTAGCTGCTTCTCTGTCCTGCCAGAATGTTGTGGAGAGGGTGGTTGGTATTGTCCAAGATGGCCTCCATCTTACATTGCATGCATCTCTCCACAACAGTCCTGAGTGAGTCCAGACTCCTGCAAAGCAGAGACCCAGCCTTTTTTACCAGCTTGTCCAGTCTCTTTGTGTTAATGTCAGACATGCTGCTGCCCCAGCAGACTGGAGCATAAAAGAGGACACTGACTGATAAAACATATGCAGCATTTCACTGCAAACGTCAAAGGACCTGAGCCTCCTGAGGAAAAAGAACTGGCTCTACCCCTTCAGGTAGATGGCATCAGTATTCAGGGACCAGTTCCAGTTTACTGTCCAGGTGCACACCTAGGTATTTATAAGTGTGCACCACCTCAATGTCCTTTCCTCAAATGTTGACAGGCTGAAGGGTGGGCCTAGACCACCGAAAGTCCATGACCATCTCCTTGGTCTTGTAGGTGTTCAGAAGGAGGAAGGTCTTGCCGCTCCATTCCCTGGAGGCCATTGTCAGATCACTGTTCTCCTTTTCCTGTCCGTTCCTGATACGCGCCACAATAGCTTTGATGTGTGTCTGTAGTCACTTATCTCAACCAGTCTTCGTACTTTAGGTACCGGAACAAGACATGATGTTTTCCACAGGACCGATACCCTCCCTGTTTGTAGGCTTAAGTTAAAGATCCTCTGGAGAGACTCAGCCAGCTGGGCTGCACAGTCCTTTAACGGCCTCAGACACACACCATCCGGGGCTGCTTCTTTTCCAAGGCGTAGCCTCTTGAGCTCCACCCTCACCTCCTCAGCTGTAAAGGACAGTAGACTTGACCCCAGTGTGGAAGGAGTTGCAGCTGCAGCGTCAGGTTGTGGAGGAGATGTCGAGGAGAAACTTCAGCTGAAGCAGTGGGAGAAAGAACAGGTGAGGCAGCTTCCTCTCTACTTTCTTTTTGTAGTCCTACTTCACCTGCTTTAATCTCCTCTTTAGCTCATGTTGCACACACCTGAGCTTCTCCCTGTCTCCATCCCTGAAGGCCTCCTTTTTCTGCTTGAGGAGGGTCTTGATGTTACTGGTGATCCGGGGTTTGTTGTTTGGAAAGCAGTCCTTGCTGGTATTACAGTGTCCATACAGAAGTTAATGTAGTCTGTGGTACATTCAACCATTCTGTCAAGGTCAGGATCTTTGCTGTTATCATTTTCCTGTGACTCCGACAGTACATTCCAATCTGTGCACTCAAAACAGTCTTTTAGACATTCTCTGGCCTCCGGGGGCCAGTTCCTGAATGAGCAGGTTGTTGCAGCCTGCCTCAGTACACAGGGCTTTTAGGGAGGCTGAAGAAAAATCAGATTATGATCTGATCTGCCAAGTGGTGGTAGAGCTGAAGCAGTGTAAATCTCCTTGATGTTTGCATACAACTGTCAGGTGAGATGTGAGAGTCACATGGTTATAATCCCCCGATACTGCAATGAATGCATCAGGGTGCTGGGTCTGTACTCTCGCAACGGTCTCATGAATGATGTCACATGCGACTGCAGGCTCAGCTCTTAGTTGAATGTAAACAACAATGATGTGAGAGAACTCCCCCAGTACATAGTACGGTCCAAGACTGACTGCCAACAGTTCAATATCCCGACAGCAGATCTTCTCCTTCACTGTGATGTGGCTGGGGTTGCACCATCTATTGTTCAAAAGCAGAACCAGTCCTCCACCTTTATTCTTCCCTTGCTCTGGCATTTCTGATCGCTCGTACTGCAGTGAAGCCGGGTAAATCCACACAACGGTCAGGAGTGTTGTTGTTTAACCAGGTCTCGCTGGTTGTTCACAAGTTCCTCCAGTTCAACATATTTCTTAGTAGGGCTGAACGATTTGGGAATTTTTACTGCTTTTTTTTTTTTTTTTTTTTTACAATATTGTGATTGCGATGTAATATACTATTATTTTTTTAAGTTCCTTATCTTCTGTATTATTCAACAAACACAAGCAATAAATCATTCTATAGTATGACTAACACAATATTAGATAGATTAAACATAAACTGTTCTTTCCTATAAGCCAGGCCTATATCTTATGATGAAATAAGATGATGCATGAAGGCAGTTTGAAGGCAGTGAGCTTTGAGGTCAAAGTCTTCATTAATGAAATGCACCGTAAGACTCTGACAGGGCTCCGCTGTACGGCTTGACCACATGTGAGTGGTAGTTGCAGAAAAAGCCACTGTTTTCAGCTCCGCTGCAAATCTCAACTTACTTTTTTTATCAAGCTCCGGTATGGCAACATTTATCAAAGCTGTAAACCCAGGCTTGGGCACCGAGGCATCATATCTTTCCCTATGAACTCTTTTATTGCCTGAGTAACTTCCCCGTGCTGTTTTGAATTACGTTCATATGGAATTATGCGTTTAAACATTTCGGTCAGTGATCCTTGTCGGGTGGTAATTGGCTTACTTGACACATTGGCGGTCAGCATTTTAGCAATGCAACTATCATGCATGGTTTTGTGGTGTTTTTTTAAGTGCTGATACAGGTTAGTAGTGTTGCCCCATGAGGTAGCAACGTTAGTAAGGCAGGTTCTGTACAATACCTGACACTGTGCAGAATCTTCTTTTTTTAAAGCCAAAATAGTTTCACACAATCGGCGTACTGCTCCTCTTTGACACCAAAGTTTCCGCAGAGCAAGGTTCTGTCGAGTCTGAGGCCATTATACAACAGGTCAGGTGTAGCTTGCCAAGTTGTTGCTCCCTCTTTTAGCTGACTGTTCTACTCCCACTTGCATGTCATGTCACGAGTGTAATTGCAGCCTTTGCTCTCATGAGGACTGATGCAAGGAAAGGCTTATATCTCTATTTCCTATCCTTTAGCTTAGCCCTGGCTTTGCATCCGCGTTATGGCTTCTTCAGCTCATATAACCCACATTTGTAATATTTTCCCATGGGGGATCATTAAAGTTAATCTTATATTTGTAATAATATTTTTTTCTTTAAAAAATCTTGCTGGTTGCTGTATTATTTTTGTTTCAAAGGGAAGCAATAAATAACACATTAAAATCTGTAAAGAATGCTCATGTGATTTAATACATCAGTAGTCAAATATAAAGAAATGAATAATAATCATCAAACCATGATTATTGCTCTGACTATGATCGTACCATCAAAATATATAATCGTTGCATCCCTAATATGAATGTGAAAGATTACATGATTACTGCATCAATGAATCACACTTCACTGGTTGTCTATGGGAAGCAGTAACAGCTGTAGTTAAAGTAGTAGAGGTAGTAGTTGTGGTAGTAGTCGCAACTGTAGTGGCAGTAGCAATCAGTATGCCAATTCTATTAGATGGCCACATGAAATCATTATCTATAAAGATATTTGCAAATAAGGTATTTATATGTCCTTTTTACTGCTCACAAGTATACATGAAGCTCAGCAGAACAGAGATGAACTTGGTTTCTCCAGAGGATTCAGAGCTTCTCTTGATGCAGGCTTCACATTAGTAACAGCAGTGTAGAAGTGGCAGTAGCAGCAAAAGTAGATGTGGAAGTAATTCTATTGTCACCATAAGAGCAGTAGGAGTAGTGGTAGTAGCACCAACAAAACCAGTGGCGGCTGTGATAAAACTGATAGTACCAGCAGTAGAGCAGCAGTAGTAGTCATGAGTGTGGTAGCAGTAGCACAGTGGTTGTAAGGACAGTAGTACTAATCTCAGTTGTGAAGCAGCAGTAATGGCTCTAACAGTACCACCTGTTGTAGTTATAGTTGTAGATGTGGTTATAGCAGTTGCAGTATGTCAGAAGTAGTACAGTAGTGGTAGTACTAGTGTCAGCAGTAGTACACATGTAGTACATGTTTGTAGTAGTGGGTCTGATACTAGCAGTAGTGAGCCCCCAGAAATTAAAATTGTGATTTTGGGTACAGTATGGGTTGCCAGAGGTCAGAAGTGATGCTTGTTTAGACATGAGAATGATATGACAGATGAAAGCAGAGCACAAACCCTTGTGGCATCTGACAGGAGCAGCACATATAGAAGGCCTGGATCACAGCACTGAGCCGATTGGCTGTCATGGAGATGACGTCTTCCCCGTCGGCGTACACTTCCGTTTCCATGACGATCTGAGGGTCCAGCAAGGAGGGAAGCTTTGGTGTGGAGCCAGAATGGTCAACCTCCCGTTGTTTGAGAAGCAGAGAGGCTATCTCGCTGCTGGAGGAGGAGGAAGAGGGGTTCTTCCTGTTCCTGTCCAGCTCTGTGGAGATAAGCACGAGCCACTCATCCAGAGAGTGCCATAGCAACTCCAATGGCTGCAGAGAGAGAGACAGGAGGTGAAAGGTACATAAAATCAAAGAGAGAACATAGGCATCCATGAAAACTGTCTGTCTGTCATTATTTTACTTATTGATGGAATTATAGTGAAAACTAGAAAATTCCTGGAAAAAATTTGGAATTTGCCTGCTGCTTGGTGCGTGTACACTTTTTGGTTGAATCTGTACAAAGTACATGACATTCAGTTTCATTCATGTCGTAGAGACTTATCCTGACACTGACATCAGTCACTGCAGGTGTCCCTCAAAAAGCCTTTTGAAGCTGTCACGACTGGCCAAAATAAACTCACACTGATGGTTTCAAACCCAAATTTGTCCCCACAACCATAGCAAGACATGTATACACACGCACATGCTTCTAAGATCGAACTTTTATGACCTTCCTTTTTGAGACTCTTATTTTGAAAGTGTCTGTGCTTCTGTGTTTGGCAGTATAAATAGCATAAGGTTTTGTAAAGCAGAGCCATAATTCCCTCTTACCATGTTGAATCGTTTATTTTGAAGGTTATCCAAATTAAAATGTTTCTGAATAAACGTGTTAGTGCCTTACATTTGAAAATGGGGAGGGAGGGGTAAAACATGTTATACCGTGATGATAATAATATATGATAAAACAATAAAATTAAAGAACATCTTTAGGTTACCAGATATATCAGTTCCCAGGTGAGAACAGCAATGAAATCAACCAATTAATTGGTAATGAGTCTAATTAGCCAATAAGAGTCAGCTTTATCAATTTTAGTAGTTTGTGATTGTGTGTGTGATGTCAGCTGCAGTTACAACAACACCACACTGAGTGAGCGACAGAGAGGGAGAGAGAGAGAAGCTAGTGCTAACTGCAAAGATCTGAGTAGCATGTAAACAACTGCTGAGTTAGTGAAAGTAGCTAAAAGAAGCAGAGAGCTCTGAGTGCTGGAGCAGAACTAGTGTAAGTTACAGTTGTACAGCAGACTCTGTGATGAAGAAAACAGCAACATTAACTGTGTTCAGAAAGAGCATCAATAAGCTCTACCAGTAACAGAAACTGACTGGAGATGGGACACCACACTGACGTCAGCACGTCAGAACGTGATAGTATTAATGGCAAGATGTAGAAGTAAATCACTATGTAAAAATGTGCTAAAAGATAAAAGAACAAAGTAAGTCCGTTAAAATGTTTCTGAGTAAAGGTGTTACCGCGTTACATTTTAAAAATGGGGAGGGAGGGGTAAAACATGTTATAGGGTGGTAAAAATAATATTTATATTATTATTTATTTATATTAAAACTATAAAATTAAAGAACATCTTTAGCTTACCAGATATATCAGTTCCCAGGTGAGAACAACAATGAAATCAACCAATTAACTGCATTTAGGCACTTTGGAGCCTGAGCATACACCTGATAATTACTAATATACTCAGTTGGCAATTTATTATTAAAATAGTTTTAGACAGTTCAGCTTTCAACTTTGTCAATTTCTGCCCGGATACTGTGTTAGTAGCACCTGCTGAGACCTGAGACCTGCTGTTTGCTATCAGCTTTTGAATTTGTATTGCAGTCTATGGGAGAGCTACTATGATGGTTGAACAGTTCCTGTAGCTCAAAGTAAATTCAATATGTCTGCTGCTGTATTCAAATGATGCGCTGGCAAGAAGTGGCAGCAAGTCCGCAAAGCTCGTAGTTTTTGTAATATATTTGTTTATATTGGTATATTTTTTGCCGATTGATGTTTTTTAATGTACGTCTCTGTTTTGTCCGATGATGGAGAAAATAATATACACAAAGGAAGAACTCCTGGCTTTAAATTTTTCTTTTTTTTTAAACATCTGTGTTTATTAGTTTTTTTCACATTATAGTTTTAACAATACACACAACAAACAAGACAGGTGCAATATAGAACAGTTACAGTAAGGCTCATCCTAAGTACACTGAAAAGACAGGGCAATACAATGAGTTATATAACCAACTCCAAAATGAATATTATCTGGAGGTGTAATCTCTTTATACTAGTGGTTCACTTTTATAAGGACAGAAAAGCACATTAAATACAAACTTAAAATAATACTGTTGATTGACGTTCAAGGCGAGCAGGCCTCTAATACTTTTTTCTCTTTTAAGAATGTCGTAAAAGATCTCCACATCGTACCAAAAATAGAATATTTACCCTTCATCTTAAATGTGAGTTAGACAGTAAGCATAAGAGAGTCTGACAGTCCTGCAAGTCAGCCTTATAAGCTTCGTTTGTTAATGGATTTCCACAATCTGGCTATTGTATGTTTTGCTTGAAACAAGCCATATATGGTCATTTTCTTGTTTGCCTTGCTCAATTTACAGTCTACAGGAAAAATACCAAGAATAGACAGTTTAGGGCACCTTAACAGCCTTATACCTGTGACATGTAAAAGCATATTCAGCACCTCAATCCAGAATGCCTGTGGACAGTCGGATAGGCAATGATATAATGGGTCCTTTCTTCCACATTTGTAACGTGTTGGGAATATTAGGATTGATTTTATTTAACAGGGTTGGTGTTATATAAATTCTCACTTATATTGAAGTAATTTATAATGGGTATTTATTGATTGTGTTTGAGATTTCAAGCATGTCTTCTGCCAGACCTCGACTGAGATATCAGTGTTTAAGTCCTCACACCATGCCAGTCTTTCATTATCTGAGGAGACCCGTGAGCCATCCATGATTGTTTTATAAAGACTTGAAATCAGGCCGCTCTTAGAGTGTTGTTTTACTGCTATTTCTTCCATGGAGGTGAGAGTAGGTAAATATAAATATTTTTGTGCCTTAGATATGTAGTTTCTTATTTGTAAGTACTTAAAAAAGTGTTTTGGCAGGATGCCATACTTTCGTCTCAAATCTTCAAATGACATGAGAATATTGTTATCAAATAAATCTGCAATTTTGTGTAGGCCTTTGTCAGCCAAATCTTTTAAGCCCATGTCTTGATTACCAGGTGTAAAATCACTGTTACCCCAGATTGGTGTAAATTGGGATATTACAGGTGTTTCATTTCTATATTTTTGTTCCTCATACCATACCCGAATTGTATTTGTTGTTTGTTATTTGTTGACCTCTTTAATTCTTTTAATTTAGCTGAAAACAAATATAAATTGAGTGGGAGAGGGAATGTCATATTTCTCTCAATGCTCACCCAGGACAGTGGTGTTTCTTGTGAGAACCAGCAAGAGGCAGTAGCGAGTTGGGCTGCCCAATAATACCATTGAAGGTTTGGGAGTTTCTGGCCTCCTCTATCATAAGGGAGATAAAGCAATGATAAACGAAGTCTAGTCCGCCTATTGTTCCAAATGAATTTACAAAACATGCTTTTCATTTTTGAAAAGAAATGAGTGGGAGGACCCAGAGGAATGGAGTGAAAGAGGTAAAGAAATTTTGGAAGAACATTTATTTTAAGAATATTGATACGTCCTATCATAGAAATTGGCAACAGTGACCATCTATTAATTGATTTGGAAACAGATTCTATAACTGGATTGTAATTTTCATCTAGTAAATTGTCAATTTAAGGGGTAATTCTTATACCAAGATAATTAAAACTATCTCTAACTATTTTGAATGGTGTTTGAACTGGGGGACTGTAGCCCGAGAGCCTACTGAAAGTGTTAATGGTATCAAATAAGTTGCATATTGACTGTTCCAACTGGGATAAAAAAAACTACAATATCGTCCGTGAATAAATATTTTATTTCCGTATCATTATTCTTAATGCCAGTAATAGTCTGATTACTCCTAATGGCAATTGCCAAGGGCTCAATTGCAAGCACGAATAGAAGAGGTGAAAGGGGACAGCCCTGGCGTGTGCCCCTGGAAAGATTAAATGATTTGGACAATATATCATTTGTTGTTACTGATGCTACTGAGTTATTTTACAATACATTAATCCATTAAGAAAAATATCTGCCAAAACCAAAACGTACTTTGGGGAGGTATCGATGTTCGACCCTATCAAAAGCTTTTTCAGCATCCAACAATACTATTGCTGTATCTGGATGCTCCGTCTTCATATGTATAATATTTAGAGCCCTGCGGACACAGTGAAAAGCTTGACGTCCCTTAACAAACCCATTTCGATCTGGATCAGTGATAAGAGGCAGGTATTTTTCAAGTCTACGTGCTAATACTTTAGCAATTATTTTAGCATCAGAATTAATTAATGAAATAGGCCGATAGGAATCGCATTTCAATAGTCGACTTCCCAGGTTTCAGTATCACAATTATGAGCGCATTGCGCAGGGTTGGCAGAAGTTCACCAGTTTTAAAGCTTTCTTCAAATATGTCTAGTAGTGGGGATAGTAACTTGTTCTTAAAAAAAATGTATATACTGTATATCGATAGGTAGTCCATCTGGGCCCTGGGGCCATTGCCCCTTTTCATCCTGCCGATTGCATCCGATATTTCCGCTGTTGTAATTGGGGAATCTAGTTCAGCTTTGGCTTCCTCACTAAGTGAAGGTAGCTTTAGTTGATTAAAACATTTTTGAAGAGTTTCACAAGTCATTCAATATTCTGATGAGTATAGCTGTGTGTAATATGACTCAAAAAGTGTGTTAATTTTTTGGGGACTTGAAATTTTGTCTCTATCTGCAGACATAATCTCTGTGATTGCTTGCTCAATTTGTTGTGTTTTCACACGCCATGCCAGTAATTTCCCTGCCTTCTCTCAACAATCGTAATAGGTCTGTTTCAGTCTAATTAAGCCTGCCAAGGCTTTACTGGTGGATAGCTTATATATTTTGCTCTTAGAATAGTTAGTTTTTGTTGTCTCTCTCTATTATTGTCAACACTTATTCCCAGTTCAAGCTCCTTTATGTCCCTTTCCAGCTCTAACATCTGCAAATGTTTTCTATTTGATTTATTTCTTGTGTAGCCCATCATCTGACCCCAAATATAGGCTTCGAAAGCCTCCCATCTTATTGAGGCGGATGTTTCAGTTGAGTTCAACTGAAAATAGTTATCAATATTTTA